TTCTTAAACCATCAAATAAGGATAATGAGGTATTTTGCTGGAATATGATATGATATTCTACATTTTTAGATAATAGAAAGTGTATTAATGAAAATAATTGTCTTCAGCATTTTCAAAAGTTTATTTAGAGTGATCTTCATGCTCACTAAAATTACTATAACTTCTGGCAGATTTTTAATGAGTAGCCCTTTGAGTGGCAGATATTTTAATAGTATAAATTGGCAAATAAGTCTCGTTCTGATATGATTGCTGCTACAGGTACTAATTTTAACATGAGTAGTTAAAAGTTTCATACTGTTTGTAAGAGGAAAAGTGAAAGGGATGATAAAAAGAAATTATTTCAAATAAGTGAGATAATAGTGGCTAGATCTTACTAGATCTGCTAGGAAAGCCTTGTTCTTTGAAAGTAAATGTATAACTTGGCAGAAAATGGAAAGAGTAACTGAGAACTCTTGTAAAGAAAGTATGTGATTTAGCTGCTACGCATAGGATAAGATTAAGTAGTGGTAGTGGTGGTAGTGGTGATAACAATACCTTCCCCTTCTATTTTCAGGCTAGTAGTTTGTTGATGATTTTCATGTTTTTTACACAAAATATCCCCTAAGTATGAATTAATAAATCAGATACTTTTCTTTCGATCAAAAATTGTCACAGATTTATCCTGGAAACTATCAAATGGAATACAGACACTATAACTAGATATTACTTTTAGTTTTTTTTTTTTTCATTATTTAGTACAGAGAACAATGTAAGCATCTCAACTCTAATGACTTTGTCTTTGACATTGTTTGAAAAGAAATTTGCTCTGGATGTTTTTATTCATTTATGAATTTATTTAGAATTATTGTCTTTTTCCAATTAAATGAACATATATTATTAACATATAGTCAGTATGCTCACGGTGTAGATTCTTAGAAATTGCATGATTTAGAGTTTTCCTGTATTGCCAGGACTTATCCATGCTCATGGGGTTGTACCACAAACTGTTACGGTTTGTCTCTAGATGTCCCCCCAAAGCCTCATGCAGGCATGGGGAGCATTTTTAAAAGTGGCTGAATCTACAGCGTGTGATGCTGGGATTAGAGTGTGTGATTAGTTCAGTATTATATTGGCAGTGCCTTAATTCCAGCAGTGCAGATGGAGTATAAAAGGGACAGAAAGACACGGTTAAGTTTCAGTTGTTGATTTTACTGTCTTCTGCCCTCAATGAACTTTTCTTCTCTGTGATGGATCTCTAGCAAGCAACTCGGCCCTGGAGCTAGCCATTTATAGACTGAAACCTCTACAAACTGTGAGCCAAACCTTTCCCCCTTTAACTTTGGGTTTTGGGTATTTTGTCTCAGCATTGAGAAAGGTAGCCAAGACACAAAGTCGCCTGATTATGATAATCTCATTCTGTTCATAGAACATTGACAGGTCAAAACAAACGAAATTATTCTTCTTAAAGATTAAAAATTTCAGGAGGATACTTATTGAGTTGATGGTTCTAGTATATGCAGATATTTGCAAAACAAATTTTCCGTATCTCCCTACATTAAAAATATAGTTTGCTTCATGGAGTTGTATTATCTTCTTTGATATTATAATTTTTCTACAAGAGGTTTTCAATAATACCAATACTTTCTATTTTATCTTTAAACATTCTGTAGTAGGTTAATTATAAATATTAAAGAGAGGCCTAAAGAGTTTTCTAAAGGCACTAAACAAGAATTTCAGATACTGACACTTGTTTATATTCTCCACTTACATAATCAGAAAACATATGAAACAGGGGCAGACACCGGACTAATAGAAGCACGCAAATTTGTTCCTAGAGAAAAAAAAAGTCAGTTAAGCAGTTTAAAGTGTTCCACATGGTCAGGGTTGTGGAAGAAAACTTCTTCAAAAGATTCATTGAAGATGTTAGAAAAAACAAATTGAATCTCTTAAAAGTACATAATGGGTTATTGAAAATCCATTCCAAATGGGATGAATATCAGAATAGCTACCATATAAGAAAATATCAGTGAGCACAAAGCCATCAGCATAGATCATCCAAAATGCAATGAGTGAGGGATGGGAAAACCTGGAAAAAAATTAAGTTAGCTGTGGGTGGACAGCAGCAAATACCTAATACATGTGCAGTTAGAGTCCTAGAAGGAGAGAAGAGAGAAAATATTAGGAGAAAGAATGATTTTTTTCCAAATTTGATGAATACTATACCTATGATGTAAGATTTTAATTTATATTCAAGTAATATAAATATTAAAAACTAAAATGAGTCCAAGATCTTATACACAAAATTGCTTAAAGTCAGTGATAAAAGACCTCAAAAGGATCGGGAAGAAAAAGACGAAGTAAGTAAGGAATAAATACAAGTTGACAGTATACCTCTTGTTAAACATTTGGAAAATTTGCTAATATTCTTGCAGCACAGAGAAAAATTAATATTTTCAAAATGAATAAAATAGCCCAATTAAGCAAAATAAAAAATCTTGACAAAATTCTTACATACACTGATCGAAAATTCTCAGTTCTTGAGACAATTGTTTTTATGTTTTTAAAAGGCAAACAAGGTTATGATTGGATTTTGGATTGATTCCAGAATGAAAAATGAGTGCAAATGTCCTGTTAATAACTAAAGAGAAATGTTGGATATCAACACTGACTAAGCGGTTATCCGTTAAATTATCTTTCCTGTCTGGCAGTTCCCTGATGCTAAGGTTCATATAAGAAGCTGATCTTTATATAGCCAAATGAAAAGGAGATTCTCTAGGAATGCTATTATTTTTCACAGTATTATGGGTTAGTTTCCATAATGTACTATCAAGATCTCAGTTCCTTTAAGAATAGCTGAGAAAGTTTATAAAAGGGGAAAACCTCTCAAGGAAAGAACACCTAAATCTCAATTGTTTTCCATAGAGAGCTATGATCCTAATAATTGTCTTTAGCTACAATATGATATAAGTTGAAATTTTAATATTTGGAGTAAACATTATTAATATACTAATTGGAATTCCAAGTTGAATTAGCCTTCTATTCCTAGGCATAACTGAGATTTAGCAAATCAAAATTTTGCACTACTAGTGAAATTTGAATTTCAAATAAATAAGGAGTGTAAGTATGTCACGTAGAATTGTTAGGCATTTCATGCTGAAATTTTGCTAGTTGCTGCCTTTTATTCAGTTGTCACTGAGAATTTTCTGTTTTGCCCACCCCAATGGCATGATAAATACTTCTGTATCTGCCTCCAAAGATATGAAACCAAATATATTCTTTTATTTGAATCTTAATTTGGTAAGCTTATTATTATAGTAGTTTTTGTAGTAAATTTATGGTGCATATAATTATCTTGCATTTTTTGTTCCTTATGAAATAAGGACTTTCATTTATGGATTCTTAAGGTATATGTTCAACTTTAAATATTTCAACTGAAAATACTGTCTTTCACATTAAAGTAAAATGTTCCTTGTAAGAAGAACAGAGTGGTCAACATTATTTGATGATAAAAATATACATATTCCAGTGCAGAAATTATGTATTAAGGTCAACCTTGTTGGCATTTCAAGATCTTTACTTCAGTGCAGTTATTTAAATATTGATATATGTCTTGGTAAGAAATATATTTTTAGATTTTTGATCAAACTGAAAAATTTAGTAATTCTTTCAAGAATCATGCTTGTCTGCAGCTGAAATGGCTAAAGAATACTAGAGCTATAAAGCGGGATTTAAAGATTATCTTCACAGGCTAAAACTTTACCTTTACCTTTTGAACTCTGTGTCCACATGGCTTTATGTTTATTTACATCTTCTGATAACTTGCAATCTAAAATATTGAGACCTGGTGATTTTTTGTAACACTCTTGCATTAGTCTGCTTTCCATTGTGGTTACAAAATACTTGAGGTTAATTGCACCACAAAGAAGACAGTTGTACTAAACTCATAGTTTTGGAGGCTGAATGTCCAAGACTGGATGACTTCATTGATTGGGGCACTGTGAGAGCACCCTTGGCTGCACTGCTTCAAGGTGGGGACACATACAATACAAAGAAATTGCAAGACTGGAAACCAGGGCACTGGGAAACAAAAAGAACAAAAGTGGCTGTTCTTATGCTTTTATAACAATTTTCTTTTGTGAGAACTAACTCTGGAAACTACCTCAGTCCCTTCTGAGTCAGTGCCTCAAATAATGTCTTCCTAGGCTCCATCTCTTAAGCACCATTTCTCAATATCACCATGGTGAGGACCCAGCTTCCAACACATGAGCTCGCAGGGACACATTCACACCACATCCAAATTAAGCACCTAGGTGACGCCAGGTTAGCTCTCCAGACTTGTAGCCAGAGGGTGTTTTCAGAGGGGATTAACAAAATCAAAATGATACAACTTTTCATTTGAAAAACTTGTTATTTTAGACAGACAAGTGATTTAGTAATATACTTCCTTAAAAGTTATGATTAAGTTCTACTCCACAGATTCTTTGCATTCTAAAAAAAAGTAAAATAAAAACAAAAATTAAGATGGATTACATTAGATGCGTTACATAACGAAGTCGAACATCTTTATGGTCTTCAAGCTTTTTAGACACATTTATCTCAAGCTTTGTAAACAGATGATTTTTCAAATAATTTCCTATGTGAGTATATTTTTCTGGGATGAATATCTTTAACCAGTTATTCTTAGAAATTTGAAAGGCATGATAAATCAAGTAACTACCTTATCCTCATTTCTTTAGTAGGAATATTTTTTCAATATGTTATTTTAGAGGTTAAATTATAACTTGGTTGCTCTGAATGGAATTAGGTACTTTATTTGTATCATCTATTGGAACAAAAATGGATACTTGTCAGACATTTCCAATGACAGTAATTTGAAAATAGCCAAAGCTGTTTACCCATTTATCCTGTGGGCAAAACTATAGTGATTGCTTGTTGACAGCTACATGATTTGAACATAGATAATCTCCAGTAATTCCTGTAATTTTCTGTCTGTAACAAACTTGACCTTATCTGTCTTCTAGATGAAATGAATGATCATCAAAGCACCCTCTCCTACATCCTGATTAACCCATCTCCTGATACTAGGCTTGAGCTGAATGACGTTGTGTAAGTTGATCATGTATCTCACCATAGACATGTATTTTAGAAGACTAAATTTATTTTTATCTTCTGACTTCTACCACTGTAGCCCTTATTTTTCTTAAGATAAAAATGCTTCAAAAGTCTGTATCATTTTCCTTCACTAACGAGTGCATTTGATGTGTTGCTATGTGTAATACTGTTAATATGTAGAATTGTTTTAAAAAGTCATAAATATAGGAAGCTCTTCTGGACCCTGTCACAGTTCAGAGGAATCCACATTTGTGATCTCAGGGAAAAGTATTGCTATTCTAATAAGTAATTCCAATCTACCATTTTCAACATAATCAATGGTGAGAATAAAGACATTAAGGCATATCTGTAGTTGTGGGGAGCCAAGGGGGTCCTAAGACCTCCACGGAGGACCAAACCAAGTTTTACTAGTTCATGAAGAGGGGAGTGGCTTGGGGATGCGTGACTGAGAGAAAGGTGGGAAGTAGTTGAGTGCTGTGAGCTGGGATAGGTAGGAGGTCTGCCATCGCCTCTGCAGTATGCCGAGAGAGAGAGAGACAGAGAGAGAGAGAGAGAGACAGACAGAGAGAGAGAGAGAGAGAGAGAGAGATCCAAAAAGAGTAATCTGTATATCACAGATTGGGGTAGTATCTAGTGTTTTGTGGTCAGTGCTGCAATTTTGATATGTAATCGTGGTGCCCTGAGATGTACAGCTTCTTTTCTGGTTTTTCTCCGGTACCGGGAACCGAACTCACGACCTTGCGCTTGCCAGGCAGGCGCTTTGCCGCTGAGCTAAATCCCCAGCCCTGTACAGCTTCTTTTCAAGAGGCTCAGTCTCAGCCAACAGCATGATATCTCATGCTCTCTCTCAGCCTAGCTCACCCATACTACTTGGGAGCTACAGGCAAGGCATTACTGACTTGTCCCATTGCTTTATTTATTTATTTATTTATTTTTGTTTGTTTTTTTTCTGGTACCAGGAACCAAACTCACGACCTTGCGCTTGCCAGGCAGGTGCTGTGCCGCTGAGCTAAATCCCCAGCCCCTTTGTCCCATTGCTTTAAAGACTATACATCAGTACCTCAGCTAGACCCATTTGCATTACCTAAAGTCACTTGAGAGATAAGGAAATATCCTATTCAGCTCTGCACATATCAATACACAGAGGTAGGGCCAAATGCTCTTCTTTCAACGATAGCCATCCACATGGTCCTCCACAATAAAATAAGGAAATAGTGGCACAAAATTTCTATTCAGACAGCTAATGTATACTTAGAGATTAAAAGAAAAATGTGTAGAATAATAAAATTACAAAACAAAGGAAAGCCTGAAATATCATTCCCTATGTAGTTCAAAATGCCTTCAAGTCCCTAAAAATCAAAGTAAAATAGGAGAAATGCATGAGAAAAAGATTTTTGAGACTAATTTGATTCACTGAAAAATATGGGTTGAACATGAACAATGTGCTATCCAAAAGATATGAAGCAGAGATAAGGAGCATTTTCTTTGACTTCAATTTGCCTATATTTAATGAACTACACTAAAATTTAAGCATTAAAAACTGAACAATGATGTACAATATAACTGTCACTAATAAATCACCAGTTGAGTGAGATAATTCCTTTGTAATTTCAAGGAAAAATGGTTACAAAGGATGAATTAGACTGAAAGATAGATTGGATTTGTATTGGGAGAGAACTGAGGACATTTCCGAGCAGGAAAAATGGCTCAGGAAATTATACTAAGAAATTACAAAACGTATCTTAGTTTGTAGTTTGACTGGAGTGTGTGTTGCTGTTTTTCTTGGCATTTCTGTTTAACTAAACATTTTTTTAAGAGTTGTAAATTTTATTGAGCAAGAGACAGATCCTGCATAATATTGAATTTAGAGCTGAATCTAGCTGAATCTAGATTGCTTTGGGCAATCTGAACTTTTCAACAATATTAAATTCCGGAGATGACAAAATGAGTTTAAACACAACCTTCTGTGTCCAATAATATCCTCTAGTTCCTACCCATATTACTGAAAATAATAGAATTTCATTCTTTTCATTATTAAACAATATTCCACTGTGGATATATAGCATATTTTCCTTACACATAGTTTGAGAAAAACCTATGTTGATGCTACATCTTGTGTGTTGTTACCAGTGCTATAAGAAACATGTATGTACACTTTTTGCTGACATACTGACTTCATTTCCTTAGCTATACCCAGTAAGTAGTGAGATTGCCAAATCGCATGATGATTCTACTGGTTTTTGAGGACCTTTTATACTGTTTTGGTTAATGGTTGTAGTAATTTTTATTTGCATGAATAATATGTAAGATTTTTCTTTTTTCTACATCATCAGTAGGCTTTGATGTTTATGATCTTTTTGGAAATAGCCATCCTGAAATCAGTGTGGAGATTCCTCAGAAAATTAGGATTAGAGTTCCCATTCAACCCAGAAATTCCCTTTTTGGGTATTTTTCCAGAAGAATTGAAAACATCATAGCACATCGATACATGTGTACCCATATTTTTTGTAGCACAATTTGTCAGAGCTACATCTCGGAAGTAAGCCAAATGCCCATCAACCGAGGAATGGGTAAAAAAGGTGTGGTATTTTTATACAATGGAATATTACTCAGCTACACAGAAAGATAAACTTGATGCTTTTATAGGTAAATGGATGCAACTAGAGACCATATTCGTAAATGAAATAACTCAGACTCACATGTGTAAACCTCATAATGTCGCCCTGGTGTAAGAAACTGAAAGAGTAAATGAAATCCAAAACATACAATAGGTATTATGAAAGGGAAAGAAACTGCTCAAAAGGAAAGAACAACTGGGATGAGAGAAAGGAAAAAAAGAAGAAAGTAAGGATGGTAAAAAAATTACATATATATATATACACATATATAACATATACACACACAAGATTACTGAGATAATTGTACTACTAATTTCTATTGGCTTATTGAAAGGAACAGTTAATGCTTTATTTTTTAAGCAATTTTGTGTGCTTATATCTGACAAGCTGAACAACTACTTTGAAGATAACAATATGCAATATAACAACCACTCTTTATTTCCTATCATCTTGTTTTGAAATTCTGTATCATTTTTGATTTTTTGGATTTTTTATTCTCTTTAAAATAAAAAAAAAGAAAAACAGTCATCCTAATGAATATGAGATGATATTCATTAAGGCTGTGATTTTCATTTTTCTGATTAGTGATGCTGAGAATTTTTTTCTTTGTTTTCCTCTGGTCCTTTTATACGTCTTCCTCTTCAAATGTTGCTCCAGGCCATATGAAAATTTTTAACTGGACTATTACTATTTTTGCTCTCCAGTTGAATTTCCTATCTGTTCTGGACATTAATCGTTTATTGGGTGAATAGTTCAAAAATATTTTTCTCCTTTTTTAAGTTTTGTTTTCAATTTGTTGATTGTTGCTTTCACCTTAAAGAAGCTTTTTAGTTTGTTGGGTTTGTTTTTGAATTTTTTCTCCTGCTGTCTGCTTTTCTTTTCTCATGCAAAAAGTCTTTCTCAAGACCAATGTCTGAAAGTGTTTGCCTTACTAACTCTTGTAGTAGTTTTATACTTTTGGGTTTATATTTAAACATTTTATAATTTTGAATTGTTTTTGTATATAGTCAAATATATATATAACACATATATTATATTTATATACACGTAC